ACGTTGGTTTTCAGATGAGATGAAATGGTGAATTTGATGGGATGAAAAGGGTGTATGAGTCTTTTACTTGATGGGGATATTTTAGACAATTTGCCATGTTTATTTATTATATTTTTTAATTGAGGCCATTTGACCAATAAACATTGAGAAGGGGTCTTTTTTCCAACTACTTTGTTTGACTAGGTCTTTTAACAAAGAATCCCAAAGCTCGGATATTTGGAGAAGATTCGATTTTCTATTTTACCTTTCCGTTTTTATGTTAATTGTCAACGAGGGCTATTTGTTCGGACTTTTCAAATTTTTATGGTAAATCAATTCTCATTTTCAATTACCTATTTTTTAATAAAATAATATTTTTCATCATATTAATAATTTTTTTTCTTTTTCAACCACACATTTTCCATCATATCACTATTCAAAATCAATTATTTCCCCAAAAAATCCCTACCAAACAAGCTCTAATATAATACCTTTAAAATACAATTTGTTTCAACTAAATAAAATTGTTATAACTTAATATTATTGCTTTTAAACAATGCCCCTGTTTGACACCCATTTTTTATCTCATTCTCATTCTCTTTTTTTTACAGTACTCATTTCTAATCACACATTCGCAAAATAAAATAATATTACACATAAACCGAAAAATTCTTCTTACTTTTTAACAAGACATTCTTTACATCAATCACTATTCAAAAACTCATTCTTCAAAANTTCTTACTTTTTAACCACACATTCTTTACATCAATCACTATTTAAAAACTCATTCTTCGAAATAATGGGTTTCAAGCGAGGCCAAAAGTCAATTAATTCCCACTAAACACATATATTAGTAATTATTAATATAAATTTGATAAAAAAAATATATTTATATACAATTAAAAATTTATGATAATATTACGTGTATAATTAACTTGAAATAGTGTAGACTATTAAGTTGATTAATATTAGCCCATGTTTGTTTAGATTCACAACTTTTCAATAGTACTTTCATCAACTTTTATCAAAATCTATTAAAAATCTGATTTTGAACAGAGCTTAATATATACATTTTAAAAAATAATAAAATTACATATACACAATTAAATATTTTTCTAAAACCTTATATTGCATGTTAAAAACTAGGGCCGGGCAAAATGTCTGAACCGAATCGAGCGGATTTTTTTAAATAAAATACCCGAATGGGTATCCGAATCGATAACCGAATGGTTTGGTTTGGTTCGGTTCTCGGTTCTAGACCCAGAACCGAAGAATCGAATAAGAACCGAAATTTTTTTTTTATATTGGATAAATCAATTTCTTTTATTTTTTCTAAATAAATTAATAAT